TAATGATTTCTTCGGATTTCGAATAATGTAACTTCTCTTCTATTCGGCCGATTTTTATGAATGAGGCCTCTTTTTATTCGTGTTTTAACGGAGAGTAAGGAAAAAATTGCTAAATGCACGCGAAACAATTTTTTTGAAAATTTGGTGGGTCCCAGCGTGACGGTGAAATGGGTAATCAAGTGAAAGTAATTAGGTCTGACTTCGGCGAGGGTCGCCCTTTGTTCTTCAGCTGGGAAGCGACGCGGCGAACCGAGCCACGATCGGGACACAGCCTGGGTTTGTACCTGCCTGTGCACTGTTTTGGCCTGATAGGGGAGTGAATTTCTGTTTGGGGCACGGTTAGCACATGGTCTAATGAGTCTCGAGGCTCATCACAGATTGCACTTACGGCTGTCCTGCCTGGCCCTGGCTATCAGAGCAGTGGTACCAAATTTTGAAAAGCATAACAGGGGTGTGGAGATTTGTCAAAGCAACGTTATGAACGAAACAGAGGAGTAAAATTATCATTTGAAGAGTGCTGGCCTGCTCAGCAATCCTCGAATCAGTTCGTTTGCTTCTGCTTATATATGCATATTTTAAATTAGCGCTGAGCATTCCTAGGTTTTTTTTTTTTTAAGAAAAACCAAGTAACGTAGACCCTTGGTATTTATTACACATAAACTAGAAAGCCCCAGAATGAGAAACAAATTTAAATCATTATTATTGACGGATTAGTAAACTTTTTACACGCTGTGGAAAATCTCAGAAGTTCGCGGTAGTCACTTTTCGGTAAGGAACTAAGGGACTCGGTTATTGTATCGAGTGGGGGGTCGAAATGATCGCAAAGGCGGTATACTACGTATACGTGCCAATAATTGCAAACTCAAACATGATACCAATGATAAGCGAAAAAGTACAATAAAATGAACAGCATTTTACAAAAGCCAAGAGAAAGATCAGTAGATGTGAAGCTTTCCGCTAACCTATAAAATTTTAGTTTTGTTAATCAAATGTCAGCATACATCTAGATGATTGGTGGTATACTGAATTAGGATTGCGGCTACTTATGCGCTCTATCGTGCAATGTATTAACTACTAACAACAACAAGGTGTAGCCTTCAAAATGTAATAAACGTGTTTGTTTTTTGAAGGGTTTTTTCAACTGGATGGCTCCCGTATTGTACATACTTAGGTAACAGTCATTTTTTTACACTTCATATTTAAATATATGTGGGTGTGTGTGTTTGTATGTATATATGTATTTCCGCCTTAAGAAGATTTGTCGATTTTTGAGCACCTAGTTATAACTTCCTCATGTTGTAAGATATTTTTACTATTTTTTTTTTTTGCATTTTGTAGAGTCTATTATTCAGAGCTATTATTCTGCGAAAAAAGATTGAAATTTTAGGCAATAAATTTGGAGACGAGAGTCTCGAAAATGGGGGGGGGGGGTCCGATCTTGTCCACTTAAAATGAATATTTTGAACTAAAATTTTTATGGGTGTTATAGTTCTCCCCTTGGAATGATTTGGTATTTAATTTTTTGAAACTTTAGACCAACCTTTGGGCCTAGGACTATCATAAACAAAATTGGATAGTTAGGTACTACAGTTTTCCTCCCTCATTTAGATAAAAAAAAAAAGCGAAACGGTCTCACGCGTGAGAGCAATCCGACATGAAAGGTGCTGGAGAAAACAATTTAAGTAAGGAAAATGAAACAAAGCCTAAGAATCTTACGTCAGAACGTAAGTTAGTACAGCAAATCCTGCAACTGTCCCAGATAACAATTTCAACGTTGACAACAAAGTAGAATTCCACGTTTCTCGTGAAACCCTCCACGTGGAAGGAACGTGTAATTCTACGTGGATGTCCATGTATTAAGTACCGTTTCCGGAACGTTCCCGTGTAAACGTTGTCAGCGACAACGTTTACAGGAACGTTTCAGTGTCCACGTCGCAGGAACGTTGCAGTGACTACATTCCGCGAACGTGCAGTAACATTGGAATCCATTTTATTTGCAGAACACATTGTGGCATTCATTTGTGGGCTTTTCACAGTTTGTGCGTCTCTTTCCCTCCTAACGTGTTTACGATCAGAAAATTTCGTTAATTATCTACTTATTTGCGATAAATGACGATTAATTAAAATACAATCATTCACTTCATAGGCACGACTTTCATTTACTTAAGTGTTCGTACTAGAGGAGAAATAAGCACTTTCAGTTTTAGAGTAGAACATGAGGTCTACGGGTTAAAATTGTGGGCATTGACTTGAGAATACAGAATTAGAAACAGACAAATATGTGCAAACCAGATAATTAACGAACTTTTATGTATGTAAAACACGGAGGTATGCATCACTCCAAGCACAACATTAAACTGTGAAAATCACTTGGTGCGCCAATATCAAGATAACAATGGTGGACGCTCTCGAACAATTGCAACCTTTCCATATCAGACTGATTCCAGGAACTTGGTTGGTGCCGACATGGGCTGCGCATGCGCTGTAGACTTTTTGAGTAATCTGCGCCGCGAAATGCAGCGCCACCTAATGGGCGCTCCTGGCCTGTGTCCTGCCTGTGCCGCCTTTTCTAGTACAACGTGTTTTGGACTATGTTGAATTCTACGTCCCGGAAACGTAGACAGCGAAACGGCGAAAGTGCGATTTTAACTTTCCAGGTTAGGTTTACAGAGCAACGTTCCTTTCCACGTTCCTGTTACATCGCCAGTGAGACGTCTTCGGAGCACCCCTGTTCTTCCGTGTTGATTACAACGTAGAAATTGTATACGTTCCCGGAATGTTTCAAGGTCTACGTTGATTTCCACGTTGCTGAAACGTTCGATGTTATCTGGGTAGGATCAAACAGTATATTTTAAAGATCCATTAAATTTAAAGGTTTTTAAAAGGTATTTTTATTTTTAAAAAAAATTTAAAATCCAAAAAACGTTGGTGGGTTTAAAGTTACCTAACCTACTTATATATAACAACATGTAAGACGAGTGTACATACAATTACATGCAAGTGCCACTGCACTGTTGGAATTACCCTCAGGGTCACTACCGGAATGGTCCTATTGCGGTTCTACTGCACAAGACTGTCACTTGATTTAACAAGAATAAAGGCTCTTCCAAGAAAAGAAATAGCATCCGTTGCTTAGAGTGATTAAGATTATGTACTTTCCACTTGTCCTTCTGTGCACCGAAAATGTGCAAACGGAAAATCCTTCCTCCCCTCCTAAAACAGAGTTTACTCCACGGAGCAAAATTCACTCTCACGCTTCTGTGTTTTTTATCAATCAATGAATCATACATTAAGTAACATTTAGTAGACGAGTGCGCTTTCAAGTGCTAGCTCCCATGCTTTGAATTTCTAAATTTTACCTCTTATAGGGACGCTACGGTCGATGGTGGAATGACTCACCCTGGCGGACTGACTCCATTCTACCTTATTACAGACCATGAAGCCATCATATTTTCTCAGGAAAACGAAGGGGGTGGGGGGGGGAGGGACGATTTTGGAAATCCGATCCCACCCTCTCATCCTAAATTGGTCCTGAGGCATCTAATGAATACAGTTTAGAGCCTCCGAAACTCCTTTATTCTCGAATCAAGCATCGAAAGCCTTATTTATCGAAGAACTGGAAATGATATTTACATGAGCGATTTTACACTAAGTATACTGCTATCAAAGAGGGGGAAAAGAAAATTTTCACCTCTGTCCGATCAGTTGATTTTTCATGACGGTTCAATTTCCCCTCCTGTAAGTATCATAGTTCTTTTGAAGTATATCAAAAGGACTTGCGCCTTCTGGAAAGGATCATACCTTAAGGGTCTGCTATAAATTTGAGTGTGAAAAAAGTCAAATTACAGGGAGGTCAGTAGGTAGGCTGTGAAAACAAGGGGTTGATTCAGGGGAAAAAACTCACTTTTGAAAACTTTTAAGTAAGAGATATAGTGGAAGGGTGGTTGGGAAGATTATGAATCATTAATATCATTAATATAAACTTCGAACTATTCAGACTTTCAGCGATTCCACCTTTTTCTTTTTCACTCGAGAAGTTGGCAGATTGTGCGATAAATGTGAATACTTATGTTACATGGATTTGAATTGGGAAAAGTGCTAAAAAAGCAACTTATCTGGCAACAATAGAGTCCGGGAGGGACGAGAGGCTGCCTTCCTGGGAAAACCCATGATTTAGCCGGAAATGTCATTAAAACAATTGATTCCGTTTGAAGCATGGATTTTCGGAGTTTCACATCTGTCTATACTCTCGCTATACAGGTACTCTATTACATAATAGGGAAAAGCTATTTTAAAATAATAATTGTAAATGGACCAAGATGCTACAAAAAAGGAAAGGGAAAGGAAATGAAATGAGGATATTACTAATATGCAATCAGAGAAAATAAAACAAAAACCATCAGAGAAATTCATATGCGATAAAAATATAAGAAAAAAACACGAGTGGGCTCATTGCGATTCGGAACTCGAACTATACTATCGTTGCGCAGTTTTTAGACCCCTACGCCACCGACAATCTTCTTAAGAGGTAAAGATGAACTTTTGCTACTTCAGCGAGTCAAATCGCGGATGGAGAATTGGAGATCCATGGATTGTTTTTTTCCGCCACCCGACGGGATGACGTCCCAGTCAAATGCGTTTTTGAAGAAATGATCGATCCCCATCATCGCTTCATTTCCACACATCTATTCATGTGCAAATGATGGCACGCTCCGGCAACATAGGTTCTGTGACGAAATCATTTTTGCCTCCAGAGTCTCCAAAATGTATACATCTTAGTGATCAACGTCCAATCACTGAGAAAAATGGCTCGCGGAGCGAGCCGAATGTCACTTGCGTAGCGAGTGATCGGGGGTCCAGGGGGCGTAGCCCCTTGACTGGCCTGGACGGACGCGCAAAGCGCGTCCAGAACGGCTAGTATCTATCTAAAATAGTTTATATTTGCTATTGAGTCCGTCTGGTTTACTAAAATAAGTAAATTTTTCTCCAAATGTTTTCAGTTTTGCAAGATCGACACTTCCTGCATTCTTCAGCACTCCCTCTCAACTCTCTTGATTTTCCCAATCAGGTAGTAATTCCAATTTGACAGCTCCTAATCATTCTAGTTACTTTGAATATTTAACGCATCTCTTTTTCCCAAGTCCTAAGAGAGAGGTTAAAAAAGAAGTGGCTCGTTAAAATACGCTTCTTGAATGCCGCCAATCCATTTACGTCTTAGCTTCAAATGATCACTTAAAAGATGGCTACTTCTTTCAAGGACTGCCTAGAAGTTACTAATTATTTGTCTTTGTTTCAATTCCCAACGGATTTCATGAACTTTCAATTGGATGTACTTATGCTAAAAGGAACTATGGGCATTGGATTTCGTGCAACATAATTCCTTCTTGCATGAATGCGTTTTATTTTATAACGCCCCTATAGAGTACGATAGCTTGCTGACTAATAACTAAAAACACGGATGTTGCGCCGAATTGCTTGGTGGCAAGATAAAAAGTCTTTTTCAAAAGTGTACAGGGTGGCCCAGACCTACCGTACCAGGCCTTTTTTTCGGTTAATTTGGGTCGCACGAAGTCCAGGATCGCGGGGATAAATAGGGAATCGACCCCAAGGAATCCGAATTTCATGGTCCCAAAACCCCCCTGGCGCCCCTGGGGAGGGGGTGGTAAAAGGGGGGGCCCGTACTTCAAAAGTCAGGGTTTACGAGGGGCGTTCAATACGTAAGTATCCCCTCTCTCTAAAATCAAAAGGAATGGACCAATTTTCAAAAACTTGGGTTCAAAATCTTCCTTAGGATATACTGAGTTCAACAAATCAAACCGCAACAAAATCGGACTATGTGCGGCCGAACGCGAGCCGTTTGAACACGCCGAGGTGCTCGACGCTCCCGCCGAATCCGAGGGGATTTGAAGTTCGCGACAGGAGAAGAGCTTCTCTGCCAAAGCCTCAGTCGTTCATCACGGACAAAAAATCAAAGAAGTTTTTGTAGAATAAGGGGCTTACTTCACCTCTCCACATAACCAGCTCGATCCAAGCAGGTCTGATACTGATTGTGAGACTAAGAGAACAGCTTTTGGAGACCACGCGTGTAGAGATCTTTCAACTGGCTGGGGATGAAAGAGTGGACGGCTTATTTGACCTCTTCCACTGATTCAAAATTAACTCCCCTGAGTTCAGATTTCAGGTACGATAATAAATGGCAAACCAGATCACCATTCACTATCGTATTTGGTATCTGAACTCGGGGGAGTTAATTTTTAATCAGTGGAAGAGGTCAAACAAGCCGTCCACTCTTTCATCCCCAGCCAGTTGAAAGATCTCTACACGCGTGGTCTCCAAAAGCTGTTCTCTTAGTCTCACAATCAGTATCAGACCTGCTTGGATCGAGCTGGTTATGTGGAGAGGTGAAGTAAGCCCCTTATTCTACAAAAACTTCTTTGATTTTTTGTCCGTGATGAACGACTGAGGCTTTGGCAGAGAAGCTCTTCTCCTATCGCGAACTTTAAATCCCCTCGGATTCGGCGGGAGCGTCGAGCACCTCGGCGCGTTCAAACGGCTCGCGTTCGGCCGCACATGGTCCGATTTTGTTGCGGTTTGATTTGTTGAACTCATTATATCCTAAGGAAGATTTTGAGCCCAAGTTTTTTAAAGTTGGTCCATTCTTATTGATTTTAGAGAGGGGGGATACTTACTTATTGAACGCCCCTCGTATTCATAAGTCTACCAGGAAATTCGTGTTTTATCAAATGAAATTTGGCAACGCCTCAAGGTTCATACGGCGTTCTTCCTTAGCACGGCAGCATAGGCAACACCATTTACAACTTGATTTCTCGCCGCTTCAGCTCTCTTGCGGATCAACTCCTAGCAAGCTCGATCTATGCGTCCTCCTTTCTTTCACGTCGGCGGGGCATTATATGAGGTATGGACTACGCGTTTGAAGGATTGGCTGCACTTCAATGCATTCGTAAATGCTGTTTGAGTCTATTCCGCGAGTTATTTATTGCGATCCTCCCTTTGCTATTTCTTAGATCCCCGAGCTCCGCAGATGCGCTCTTAATAGAAGTAGAAGTGAGTAGCAGTTCGCACCTAATGACCCGCATACTTCAAAGCAAGACGTCGACGTTCCACATCATGGTCGTCAAATTTCTCAACATTTTCCCGGGATTCCGCTCTTATGGAGAAGCAACACCGAAAAAAAAGTGAGGTTGATTTAACATTCTGGATGTAAAAAAAAGTGTGCGAGAACTTATAAAATGCTGAATTACCTGCTACAGTAGTTAGTTTTACATATTGGCATTGCTGAGGTATCTGCTGTAGCGAGTAATTCAGCATTTTATAGGTTTTCCCACACTTTTTCTCACCCAGAATGTTGAATCAGCTTCACTTTTTTTCAGCGGAGGACTTCAAAATCTGGTAGCGTGTAGTGAAATGAAACTTTCTCTCGAAAAGAAGTCTATTGCTTGAAAATGATTAGCTGAGCTCCGTTTTTGGGATCATGACAAGCATTTGCTCAACATATATATTTTTTGCGGCGCTGTATAGTAATCAGTAACGAGCAAATTAATTTTCTTTTCGAATGGTTCCTTTTTTAATGAAAAGAGCTGGACTGAGAACAGCCAATCAATTTAGTGATCGCAGTAAGTCGTCTGACTTGTATTTGTACCAATTGGAACATTGGAAACTTTAGTTATGAGAAAGATGAACTGAATAACTTGCAAAAGCCACAAATTAAGCTTGATGGACACATACTTTTCCTAATATATATATTCAGAATTTTTTTCGAACTGACCGGTAGAGGACAGCCTCGGCGTCTAATGGTCGAATTGGAATGAGGAGGTCACAAAAATGCCATAGAACTTTTCTGCCCTCAAAACTCAATTTTTTCAAAGGTCCTCTTGCAAAAGCCAAAACAATTGCCTTTCCTAACTTCTCTAGACACTCTGCAATTTGACGATACCCGTTTTGAGATGCAATCTCAACGAAGCTGAATTCCCTCTATACTTCGAGTTGAGACAAGCAGAATCCATTTCTGATAGGCTCCCGTATTTTAGGCATCCACGGTGTCATACATAGGAAGGAGGAGAATATTCACCGAATGCAAAGATTATGAACTGGAATGGACCGGGAATTCAGGGTCACGCCAGGGGAAAATGGGATGAGAGAGGGACCAGAAACGAGGTTAGGGATTTGGGAATGAGTTGATCGAAGATTACGAAAAACGCTCGAACTGTGTAATCTTTTTCCTGATTTGTGACATCCCTGAGTCGACGTGTCTTAAGATGAATCGATGGACGCCATATTTTGAGTCAGGACGACCTGCGATCTGTCGCATCAGTTGGTTCCATTTTTTCAGCTACTCGTCATTTTCCTATAATTTTGAGATCGCAATCCTGTTGTCAGGAGACGAAAAAATTCACTTACCAATTTTGATAAACATATTCAACGTAATGATGGCGTGGTTTTCTTAGAAGAAAAATATCGCATTCGATACTGATATCGAAGCTGTACCCAAACGCGATATTTTTCCTCCAAAAAAACCACACGCCTTTATTACGTTAAAGTTCGTCAAAATTGGTAAGTGAATTATTTAGTCTCCTGACAACAGAATTGCGATCTCAAAATTCGAGGAAAATGATGAGTAGCTGAAAAAATGGAACTAACAAATGGGATTTATCGCATGTTGTTTTGACACAAAATACAGCGTCCATCGAATCACTCATGTCCCTTAAAAATACACCAGGTTTTCTAAGCCGCTAAAAATCATCGGGTTTCCACGTCAAACTCGGCAAAAGTGCCTCGCGTGACTCCTCAAGCACAATGGGCGCGAATGAGCTCAGTTTATTCCTTTCTAATTAGGTTTCTTCGGATATTATCGGAAATAGCCACCGAAAGATCCGGTAATTCATACGTCGGGAAGTAATGCGACGGGGGGAGGGGGCGGGGGCGGGTTTCAATCAAATGCAAAAGGGGACGGGCCCGCGTTAAATGTCTGCGCAGTCAGTGAGAAGATTATAATTAGGGCGCATTGAGATTTAAGTTCATCGAGACGGCGAAATGTATGTGATCAGCTTAATTGGGCGCTTTCAAAGCCAAAGCGGGGGACAACTCAGGCGCAGGCGAACCGAACGCACACCCGAGATCAAAACTCGGATGCATTCGCCTGTCACCGATGGATGTCCGCTGTCCGTGTATCATCGTTTGATGATCCTGCGGCTTGATCATTTGCATTCAGAGTCGGGGCCCCGATCAAGGTCATTGCCCCCCCCCCCCCCCNCCCGCTCAGAGACCGGTAATTGATAAAACGAATGCAAATACAGTGTAATCGGCGCACTGACAGAAATGGAGGATGTCAATGGCAGGGTGGCATGAAACGTAAGGAAGAAATGAAAGATTGAAAATTTCAGTGGAATATTTCATGAAACTTCACGAGGCTATAAAATATTTCATATTTTTAGGGGCTAGAGTATGCAACCCACACTCATGCACACGAAACTAGATGTAAGTCACAATTCTTAGATTTTGCAGAACATGAAAGGGAACTGATATTTTTCAATATCTTTAAGTCAACGTTTGAATGTTGGAGTCCTGAAAGCAAAAGATTCCACCATTGTCAAAATAGCATTGAAGGGTCACTGTCTCTGATGTTCGGTGACGTAAGGCAGTAAGGCTAAATTAGCGTTAATTCAACAGAGCTAATTGTGGACTGAAATGTGGAGTGTGCTTTGTCGCACGGTTAGTTAAAGCTTCGAGCCAGTTTCTTTTTCTTATATTTTTCATGTCTTCATGAATGTATTTATACATTTAATCTGATCATTTGATTGATAAAAAATTAACGAAAAACTTTTCTACTCTAGAATTGCGTCGTCAGCTAAGTGGCACTTTTTACACCCCATTCACATTCCGCCTGCAAGCAATCTTGATGCAATCGTCTGTCGTGATGCAAAAGCGTGAGCGTAGTCCATTCTCGATCCCCATTGGACTCCTGCATCGCGATCCCTCACAAGTGTAATGTAAACTATTGCTAACTAATCGGACGATACCTCACCCAGCATTTTTCAACTCTTAACTCCA